TAGATGTTTTCATCAAGGTGTTCTGTGCATGGCTGAGTAGTAATGAGTTTGCTTATTTTTGTAAGGATCTTATATAATTGTCAAATAACGTTATTGGTGAAATTGCTTTTTAAAATATTCAAAATCCCTGTAGTGAAAATTAGAACACATAACCAAACGGTTTTGTTTTCAATTAGACCCTCAATAGGTTTTACACTAATATACAGCAATGTTCATACTGCCCTGAGGAACATTTGATGAACTCCAACCATAATTTAATGGTTAAAAATATTTTCGTTACAGGTTTGTCATATATCTCGAAGAGAGCACTTAGCTATTAGACAACTAGGTCGGGGTTCGACAATATACCAAATCTAACATCGTTCAGTACCAAAAACAGTGATACGATCACTTAACCTTATTGGTGACGACTGTATCAATGCCAAACCAGTTGGGCCCGACCGGTGACGACTTCACGACGGAGACTTACCAATTTATTTCAAAGCCAATGCGGTCAATAATTCACGAATATCGCCTACAAGTTACACAAACCTCAACATCTAAAGCATTTTGGGAAAAAATTATTATTATTTATTTTAACACATAGATATTGGTACAAGGAGGCACCAAATACATATGCGCCACACGAATCTCAATTGATTTGTGTGTGGACTGTGATACTGACCGGATTGCCCAAACCGAAGCAGATGGTTTTCTTAGAGGGCCACAACCCGAGACTTCGACCTGAAGATCTGATTCACAAGGCAGTGGACCATCCTAAGAAGATGCAATCCCATGGTAGCCGGTGACCAAAAGTTGGTTCATACGCCATTTGTTCCTTCAGGATACTGGAGCCAGCCCATGTGCACCATTGGTTTGGCGTCCGGTTAAAGTGTCGGATATTCGCTTTTCGTTCTCTCATTTTCGTAAATAACAGTAATGTCACGAGAAGGCAGTGAGTAGGACTTCCCTGGCAGAGGCTATATACGCGTGGCCATGTGAGAGCATTTCGAGAGGGAGAGCGGACTCTCTCCACTCTCGGCCGTACCAGGGAATTTGGGGGCGATGTTATGAATTATTATTTTCTCATTGTTTTTTAGTGTTAATGATATTCTATCATTCAGATTTATGACTTCCGAAGAATCTCGGCTTATATGATGAGGCGTCATAATTCTTTGGAATGAATTTGCTTCAACTTGGAGAACAGAGTTGAAATAATTAAAATTGGTCAGTTTCTTTTAGCAAGGTTGTTTTCTATGGGATGTGGTTCCTGAACATATGTCCAACCTTCTTCAGTGTGGGTTTTGAACCATCAATAACTCTAGAAGAGTTACAGGTGGAGTTCAAATATATTAACATAGATAATAATAATTGCGCATTCTGACAGAAAATGAGAAATTACTACTTCTATTAGTTCGAAAGTTGGTTCTCGCTAAATATTTGATGATGTGATTCAGATTAGTGGTAAGTATAAAAGTTTTATTGTAACGTAAAGTTTATGTCTATAAACAGAATGAAATTCACCAACAATCTGTGATCCTCCATCTCAATAATAAGAATAAATTTTTCTGAAGATCAATTGTAAGATCGGTTATTTTCTGCCCATTAACTTTGACTATTTCCTAATAAATGAAATCACTCAGTCTAATAAATTAAGTTGATATATTTCGAAGCACTCAAAGAATAAAGAGAAAACTTAGACCAGAAATAACATGATTTAGTCATTTAGTATATTGCTTAAAATAAAAACACATTGATGATATACTCCATCCCACCTGGTAACTATTAGGGGAACAACTAATTCGTTTAGATTGTTAATTTACTTTGGATAAGTGAAAGAAGTAATTACAATGAATGTTATCTAAAGTAATGCACCCAACAATCAAAGCAATGACGACGATAACGATCAGTTCTACAAAAGGCTGCAATCAATCATAGCAAAGTGTTCAGGAAACGACCTGACCATCCTGATAGGAGAAATAAATGCTGAAGTCGGAATGGACAACAATCACGGATGAACGTGGAGGATCTAATACAGACGTAAAAGTGAAGATTAGCTAAGCAAGTGCAGCATTCCCACAATTGGACGATATATGAAACTCAAAACAATCGTATGCAACACATTATCGAAGTCAAGATAGTTCTATGGAATGGAGCTGAAACTTCCAGAACTACCACAATCATCATCAAAAACATACAAGTATTCATAAACAGTTGTCTACGCAAGATACTCAATGTCCGTTGTCGACAGGATACCATCGGCAACAGCCTACCATAGGAGAGATCAAACCAGCTTCCAGTTGAAAAAAAATTAGGAAAAGTCTTCGGAAGTGGATAGGACATACATTACGGAAATCACCGAACTGCATCACATGCCAAGCGCCAAATTGGAATCGTGGAGTTGGGAAAGATGAAGGCCAAAGAACATATTGCGTGGAGAATTGGTAGCAGTCATAAAAAGTATGAATAGCAACTGGAAAGGACTGTCGAGGACAATGTTGAATGGAGAATGCTGGTAGGCGGCTTATGATCCTCTATGATGGCTAACAGGCGTAAGTAATAACCAGATTTTTAGTGCAATGTTGATTTGAAATTAGCAAAACCACTTCTGCTTCGCTCATTTAGTATGATTAGAAATAACTGAAGATCTCGGAAGGCTATATAATACAAATTAATGTTTCTTAGATTTCTAGAAGTCATAAATTTTAAGACAGTTCACGGAATTAAATTTAAATACGCTATTAATTCGGCTACTCGTTAGCGATTTGACTTGATGGATTCGGAAAAAGTTGGTGCTTATGGTGATCGTTTTAATAACTATTTCGGACTAACTGTCACATGACTTGCCACACCACATATAACGTCCCGTAGAATGGAGAACAACCAAATACCCTGGTACGGTCGAGCTCGCTCTCTCTCTCGAAATGCTTTAACATGGCCACACATATACAGCCACTGTCAGGAATATCCTACTCACTACCTCTTCGTAATGGGGGTGTTTTTCATGAAATTTAGAGGACGAAAAGTGAATATCCGGGTGGATCCACCTAAGATAGTTGGAAAACCGTGATTCCTAACCAATGTTCCATATAGTCTCCAGGAGGGAATGAATGGTGTATGAACCCACTGGTTACCGGCTACCACAGGACTGAATCTCCTAACGCTGCCCCACTGCCTTGTGGATTAAACCTTTAGTTCAAAGATTCGGAGTATGTCCCTCTAAGAAAACCGCCTGCTCTGGTTTGAGCGCCTGGACAGAATTCCAGCTCTCACACAAATCGAATGACAAAGTGTAACGCATATACATTTGATGCCTCTTTGGACCAATGTTTGTGTTTAAATAAATAAATTAGAGACATCACTGTGAATAAACCGAGTACTGAGTGTTATATGATAATAATCATGCCAATTGGGGTACAAAAATGATTGATTTTCTTCCTTGCATGATTCTTAGTTCAGTTGAAGTAACTTTTACGTTAAATGTATCAAGATTTGAGTCGAATCCGCTTAGATGTTTTCATCAAGGTGTTCTGTGCATGGCTGAGTAGTAATGAGTTTGGTTATTTTTGTAAAGATCTTATATAATTGTCAAATAACGTTATTGGTGAAATTGCTTTTTAAAATATTCAAAATCCCTGTAGTGAAAATTAGAACACATAACCAAACGGTTTTGTTTTCAATTAGACCCTCAATAGGTTTTACACTAATATACAGCAATGTTCATACTGCCCTGAGGAACATTTGATGAACTCCAACCATAATTTAATGGTTAAAAATATTTTCGTTACAGGTTGGTCATATATCTCGAAGAGAGCACTTAGCTATTAGACAACTAGGTCGGGGTTCGACAATATACCAAATCTAACATCGTTCAGTACCAAAAACAGTGATACGATCACTTAACCTTATTGGTGACGACTGTATCAATGCCAAACCAGTTAAGCCCAACCGGTGACGACTTCACGACGGAGACTTATCAATTTATTTCAAAGCCAATGCGGTCAATAATTCACGAATATCGCCTACAAGTTACACAAACCTCCAGACCTAAAGCATTTTGGGAAAAAAGACTACTGATCGTTCAATAAAATATGGAATATCTAATCAACGAGCTTGATTGTCTTCAATTCGAGGAACCGTTTTGTTTTGTTCAGACTGAATATATCTGAAAATGCAATCATAGACTGACTCGCTCGAATCATTTATTTTCTAGGCGATTTCATCTCGTATTGTTTTATAAAACACTGAAATGAATAAGGCTACATATTCTACAACTATCATTAGATAATACAAAGTGTAGAGTGAATCCACTAAACTACTTGAGTTTCAGCATGATTTAGCTGTAAGTCTGTGGTAAAGATAAGTTAGTTACAATTTCATGAAACACTTTTAAATCACTTTAGCTTTCGTAAACACATCAGTCATAATTACCATAGAAATATTATATACAATAATCGGTTCTTTTGATGGTCAGAATAAAAGTGAAGCAGTGTAGCCAAACTGATCCGATTGACCTTGTTTTGGTATTTCGAGAAATTCACTTATATTCGATTGTATATATATACACATATACATCTTAGCGAAAGTATGGATATAAAGGGAACCCAAAACAAAAAAGTAGTTCACTAATTCTGCTGTATGACAAAGATGATTTTCCGTGCCTTAATTAATATCATCACTGTCAGTAGGATTTCCAAATATCATCAGATCGTTCCACGCATAAATCAATTTTATATTCAGTAAAACTAACACTTCGTTAACTGGTTGGCTTATGACTTCTATGAATCGATTTAACATTGTATGACTAGTCCATGTTTTGTACCGTACTTGTAATTTCTATATTTCAGTTATTATCAACTAACGTAATTCTAAATTTTACAACTTGATCATTTTTTGATCATAAATTCATGAATAGTTCGTCAAATTTTATTGCTGAAATCGAAGAATTCATGACTCAACTAGAAAACCTCTAATTAAACTCTATCAAATTTGAAACCACACCATCTATGGTGACAACGGTTGCGATATCCCATACAATTTATTTTATTATATTGTAAAAAATTAAAAAAAAAAAAACAAACAAAAACAAACAAAAAAAACAATATATTACATTTGGAAAAAAAAGAACAAAAAAAAGAAAAAGAAGAAGAACAACTGACACCATAAGATCACTGTAGTTTAAGTGCTCGAATTTCATTTACAGCAAAATCACGTCTGTAAAAAGAAATATTAAAGTATAATTAATACATATAGTAAACTTGAAAAAGCTGATAGAAGACATCAATAAAACTAACTTATACTGAAAGTGACCACTTCTTAAACTAGATACGTATAGATTTCATGTAATCTATCACAAATGCCTCTTCTATGTGATGTTAACATAGGCTAGAACAACCGAGTCAATATTGCTGTAGTTAAGTGTAAGGTCCTAAAAGTGAGTGGTAATTCAGTGAATAAGACCACATATGTTAACGCTTATTTTAGTCAATGCTTAAGCCCATATCTAATAATGAACAGAATTGTAGCAGGTTAGAAGACGGTTAAAAAGCTTAAACCAAAAATTCATATCAGTCCATAAAGTTACTAACTATTTGATTGAGCAATCTCATAAGTTGGAATTTTCATAACCCGAATGATGATGACTCAATGGGTTAGAAAAGTATCTAACGAAAACCTCGTTTGCTTTAAAAGACACAGATAAAAGATCACATTGACTGTTTAACCTACTTTGACCAATTCAACTATGTTAAATCAGCTTATCTTATTTGTTTATTCATTTATTTATTTTAATACATAAGTATTGGTACAAGGAGGCACCAAATACATATGCGCCACACGAATCTCAATTGATTTGTGTGAGGGCTGTGATACTGACCGGGTGACAAACCGGAACAGGTGGTTTTCTTAGAGGGCCACACCCCGAGCCTTTGACCTAAAGGTCTGACCCACAAGGCAGTGGAGCATCGTAAGAACATGCAGTCCCATGGTAGTCGGTGACCAACGATTAGTTCATATGCCATTTGTTCCTTCAGGATACTGGAGCCAGCCCATGTGCACCATTGATTTGGGATCCGGTTAAAGCCGGTGCCGGACATTCGCTTTTCGTCCTCTCATTTTCGTAAACAACAGTAATGCCACGAGAAGGCAGTGAGTAGCGTTTCCCTAGGAGAGGCTATATACGCGTGGTCATGTGAGAGCATTTCGAGAGGGAGAGCAGACTCTCCCCACTCTCGGCCGTACCAGAGCATTTGGGGGCAAATCAGCTTATCTGGTACAGAATGATCCCTTAAAATCAAAGATATATATATATATATATATATATATATATATATATATATATATATATATGTATAAACGGAATACACCCATTGAAACATTAAATAAGAAAGATTATTTCAGCGAAGAGTTCTCTTTTCGGCCAATTCATTTTCAAAGCTGTACAATCGCAACTATATGTGTATACTTATTTTTACAGGATGATAATAGTACTGATAATAAACTTGTTTTACATCGTGACAGTGAGGTTAAATAAACAAAGGTATTAAAAAAAATTTTTTTAAACAAGGAAAGTTTAATAATCGTTTGATTGTTAATGGCTTAAGTATTCATCAAAAGATAGATAGGGAAATTATCATTTGGGAAAGGATAGCTCAGTATGATAGGATAAAATGTTGAGATTGATATGAAATGTATTCAGGAGGATCGTAGAAACAGAAATAAACCAGTTGGGGGTAGAAGATTTAAGGGAAGGTGGAGGATGAAACAGATGGCTGTAAAGGAACAAGAGAAAAATTTTAATACATTAAGAGCAACGTAGAAGAAGAGGTTGTACCAGTCTCTTTTGTACACACAAATCTGGTTTTTCCAGATGTATGGTTATTGCTTCGGCAATGTAAAGAAGATGCAGTCTAATTTCCTTAGGAAGACTTCTATTTACCTTGTAGATGACTTTGAAAGGAGAGTCTGTTTTGATTGAGTGTTCGATTATAGAATTTATTACTAAGCCGTTGCCTCCTATTTTTAGCCACGGCGGACAATGTTCTTGAATTGTTTTGGATAAAGTACCCATCGAACGACCTTTTAAAAAAATTTTTTTAATACCTTTGTTTATTTAACCTCACTGTCACCATGTAAAACAAGTTTATTATCAGTACTATTATCATCCTGTAAAAATAAGTATATATATTTGCGATTGTACAGCTTTGAAAATGAATTCGCCGAAAAGAGAACTCTTCGCTGAACTAACCTTTCTTATTTAATATATATATAATATTGAAACTAACCTTAAAGATAGAATACTTCTGACTTCATGTGCAGTAAGACGCCAATTAGAACTATTCCAATAATAATGGACTTCTTCAACCTGGAAAATCCCAAACACATTGAAAACAAAAAGTATAACAAACAAAAATGGACTGATCTATTTCTTGTAATTGAAATTTTAGGATAACAGAAAACTAAACAATATTATTAATGCTAAAGAAAAAAAGACTGTGATAGGTTTTTCTTTGTTTAGATCACAATACTTGAAATATTCATCATTCTTCTAGGTTGGAAGAAAGTTAGGGGCGGCGATACCAAAACATGGCACAAATCCATGAAGTCACTGACAACTGAACTGAGTGAACCATGTTGGTAGGTGTAGACTACCTGGTTGGGGACCACGAGATGATAGCAACCGATGGTTAGAGACCTTGAATGACATGGCTGAAAATCGTTTGCAATGGCGCAGGTGAATCCACTTTCTGTGTTCTCTCAAACTCTCATCTTCTGTATTCTTTATGTCCTTTATTTTCCTTTCAAATCTATTCCACTGGATTATACTCCTTAAATAACATCATCAAACCCTAATGTTCCCTATCACTAGCTCTACCACTACGAGATTTGAATTGATAACGTCATCTCTGTGCTAATATGGTATGACAACTTGAACTGATGTACGTACGTACGTACGAAGTTCCACATTGTTACTGACTGACTAACTCATCTTCTATCTGAGACTAACCTCAAAGCTTAAAAACATACAGTTTTCTTGAATAGATGATATATTCAAACAAATATTTTATTCTATACTTTATTAAATCAAGATAAATTTACTCAAATGATCATTGATATATACCCAATATAATAATAATAATAATAATAATAATAATCATAAAAATCTTTAAACTGATAGAACATTCATTTGGAACTTACTCGATCCAAATTTAAAAGTCTACAGATTTGTAAACTACGAGTGAAATAGTCACGCAATGAACTGTATGATATTGATGTTAAATAGGCAAACAAATTACGATATTCTTTTTCTAATTGAATAGCTCCAAACTATTTGGAATAAATAGAAAAAGAAAAAAATTAAAAAAAAAATTCAGGATGCCAAAAAAAAAATTAAAAAAAAAAAATAAAAAGGCATCAAAACAAAATGGAACACTAAAATAAAAAAAATATTCAATCGTAACTTACTCTATTGAATGATTTTCTTTGAATAAATTGATCAAGTTGATGTAAAATTTCATTTATCAAGATTAATACAAATCGATCGTTATTTTCAGTGGATAGAACAGACTATAATAAGAGTATAAACAAAACAAACAAATAGTTCATTGAATAATAATAATAATAATAATTATAATAATAATAATAATAGTAATAATAATAATAATAGTAATAGTAATAATAATAGTAATAATAATAATAATATTAATAATAATAATAATAGTAATAATAATAATAGTAATAATAATAATAGTAATAATTATAATAATAATAATAGCAATAATAATAATAGTAATAATAATAATAATAGTAATAATAATAATAGTAATAATAGTAATAGTAATAATAGTAATAGTAATAATAATAGTAATAATAATAATAATAATAAGTAGCTACTCATTATTGTACATTTTAATCAAAACATCTCATCTTTGCTATACAAAAATCGTTTGGAAACACATACAATAGTCATGACTTATACCATTAAAAATAACTACTATCACGAAAAGTATTAATGATTAGAAGATAATAGATATAAATTATAGGCAATAAAATAATAAGAACTATATACATATATTTTTAAGCTAATGAAACTTATTAAGTCTTTCAAAATTCTGTATTTTACATAGAGATATACATCACTTTATTGCTAGATTTGAAGCTATTAAGAGTTCACTTAGTATGTGAAAGGAACAAAAACTCGATGACCAAACATCAATAAACTAGATATTCTGATGTGTCTCACCCCTGCTAACTAGAGAAAGAAGTTCAAGCTTGGAATGGGGAAGTATATTCTGCAAACAGCACAAAACCTTCCTTTGAGAGAGTTACCAAATAGCATACAAAACGATACAACGGACCAATAATATTTAAGATATTTCCCAGTGGGGAACTACGACATAAAGGTAACAAGAGCGCTTTTAGCGCGAAAACAAAGAAAATCAAATTTTCTAAATAAATTACAAAATTAGGTCCTTTTTTCAAGTGAGTTCTGAGGATCTAACGTGCCCAACATTTATACTATAAAGTGAATGGTCGTGATAACTCTGAAATTATAAAATCAATAAAGATGGTAGCTTAAAATGTACGGAACGAATTTGGTGGATATATTGCTCACATCGTGAGTGCTAAAGTTCCTGTTTATCAATCCATTTAGTATTATAGATGAGCGTTTTAGAGAAATAAAGTAGAACAAAATAAGAGCTTCACTGAATGATAATTTGATAAACATATCTCTTAGTTATTAAATTATGAAAACTGAATTTGAAGAAATCAATTAGTTGTCAAGAGAGTAATCATATGGTTAAGAACAATGTTAGTCAGTCATATCATTTAATTAAAATACATTTTCTTAGCGTTATTATCAAATATTCATGTTAAAAACAATAGATGCACATCAAAACGATTAATGTCAATTTGCGTATGAACAAATTATATTTATTTTATTTATTATTTATTTTAACACATAAATATCGGTACAAGAAGGCACCAAATACATATGCGCCAGACATATCTCATTTGATATGTGTGAGGGCTGTGATACTGACCGGGTGCCCAAACCGAAGCAGGTGGTTTTCTTAGGGGGCCACACCCCATGAAAAAATTATATAACTACAGTGAAATAAATGACATAATTATCAAAATAACTACAATATCAAACTTGAATACCCTAAATGGTTTGAGAAAATCTTCTATATGACCTATACATGATTCAATCCATCGATCATTAGCAGCGAAAACATCTAAATCCTCCTGAAATAAAAAAAAAAAAAATAAACAGAGAAAATCATATCATAAAAACAGGTTTCACTAAATAAATATTGTTATATTATCAATATAATGAACGATCCCTATCAAATTTATTATTATTATAGCAATGGTACATGTGACACAAGCGCTTCTTGATCAGTTATGTCGTGAGTTGAAACTGCACCTAAGTTAGGGTTAGGTTTACAAACTGATATTCAAGGGGATAAAATTACTATCAATATTTTCAGTAGACAATACAGAAAATGATAAAAATGACCAAAGTAGGAGATCAGACCAAACGACAAATACATTATCAACGATAAGAAATTACGTTGGTAGTAAAACATAAATCACGAGCAGGAATACTGCACGATAAATTGGTAGGTACTCATAAGTAATATACTTCGAATAATTACATAAATCTCACAGGCCTTCTTATTGGTACGAGAACATCATATTCACTGAATAAGGATCTACATCTCTCTTCAACTCATCACTGTTAGTAATGTATCCAGTTATTGTGAAATCAACATACAAATTAGAAAATTGAAGCTATTTCGATCATTCGTTCACATTCTCTTCTATATACAATTTCCTGCAACTAAGTAAATTTACAAACTGTAAAGAATTCATACCATTTTATTGAACTGGAGCAAATTATCATCACTTATCACAAAAAAATTCTTTGTAACTAGCCTAGGGACTAATGAATCTGTACATCAAAAACAGTGAATCAAGATTTGCAGGTAGACAAATTCTATGATAGTAGTTATACGTTGACTACGTAAGTAAAATCAATATTTCCCTTGGTAGCTATAACCTATGTTCAAGATTAAAACATCAAAACTATAAGACCTTTTAAAACATTCGTAGAGTAGTAAAAAATAACACATGACGAAATATTCTAATAGTCAAAAACTTCTACATCATCACAAAGACAACATAAATGAAGTACTAATGAGAACGATAACTACAACGTAAGAACAAATAAAAAAGACGTTGTCTGAAGCGCTAGTTAACTGGTTGAGAGATTTAGCTTTTAGTAATTTGGTTCTAATTCTGAACCCTGCTCCCAAAAACTCGGTCTAGGCAACTAGGTCATATCACTAGCCCTCACTTGAATTATGGTTTGAAGTTAAGTATCCGGTAGTGAGTTCATGACGTTCAAACATTTTAACAACTAATCCCAATTTAACAAACACTATTTATTTTTATTTATTTTAACACATAGGTATTGGTACAAGGAGGCACCAAATACATATGCGCCACACGAATCTCAACTGATTTGTGTGAGGGCTGTGATACTGCTCGGGTGCGCAAACCGAAGCAGGTGGTTTTCTTAGGGGGCCACAACCCGAGCCTTTGACCTGAACGTCTGATCCACAAGGCAGTGGAGCATCATAAGGAGATGCAGTTCCATGGTAGCCGGTGACCAACGATTGGTTCATACGCCATTTGTTCCTTCAAGCAGGATACTGGAGCCAGCCCATGTGCACCATTGGTTTGGGATCCGGTTATAGCGCCGGACATTCGCTTTTCGTCCTCTCAATTTCGTAAACAACACCCCCGCCACGAGAAAGCAGTGAGTAGGACTTCCCTGAGCTGTATACCCGTGGCCATGTGAGAGCATTTCGAGAGGAGTAGCGGACTTCCCCCCACTCTCGGCCGTACCAGGGCATTTGGGGACATGCGTTATATGCAGTTATCTGATAATAGCCAATAAAGTTTAATAACTAAAACTTAGACAAGCTAAACTAAAACTAAAACAATGTTGTTTTACCTATGAAATGGTAAAAATAAGCCAAAAAAGAAAACAACATCTAAGTCAAGTCAATACAAACCACTGTAATTTGAAATGAAAAATCACACCAAGCATTAAGAATAATAAATTTACTGTATTGGTAAATGAAACTTTTATTTTTTTGTTACTTAGAGGGGAAGTATATAAGGATAAATAGATCATGGTCATTACAGAACAAAATAGAACTAAATTATACGTTACAATCTTACCTCAAGTAAATCATATTTCAGTGACTTGAAAACATTTAACAAACTTTTTACTTGACTTTGAATAACACTAGTTGAAAGATGCTCAAAAGCAGAATCAAGTAATGCTTGAAGTTGATCTGAGATAGAAACTTTTAATTCTGTGATACACATCTTAAATAAGATGAAAAAAACAAAAAAAACAACCCATCCACAAATCAATCCGATAGAGACAACAAACAAAATGAGAATTGTAAGAAATGAAATTATATTTATGAAAGAAAATATTCAACATCATAATATTAAATAGATGTGTGAATGGAAGAGCAATCCAGTATATACTATTCTTGGATATTGTTTCAAATTAATTACTACAATTATATGGTATTCTTTACGATTCAAAATTGCTTTATGAACGTTTTATCACTAGGGCAGGCGAATAACTTAAGATTTCATATAGAAACAAGTATGTGATTAAAAAGCTTTTGCGATACCAGTTTGGAATCATGATTTGACAACTCACCGTATCCAGTATGCTGGTGCAACTCCAAAACGTTTGTAATAAACTCGTACTTCTTTGGGAACAGTTTCAATGGTCATTCAGTGTAATAAGAAACATAGAACATGACAATTATGTACATTGATTCAAGTTTCCACACCACACCAGAACAGAGAGATGTTACAGTATTTTAATTCGTAACAGTATTGTTGGTAATAGAAAAAATTAGTCATAGAAGATATGGCTCAACAAAGTGTGGATTCATGGGATAAAATATTTCCAAGGTCATTAGGAAACTTAGGACCTAATAGAAGACAAAGAGTAAATGTACTTGAGTTAGTCAATGAGAACAATCCTGAGCCATTTCACCCAGTCATTAACCACTGGTTACGACAATCGTACGGATCCCAATCACAAGGCAAGCGTCAACTTGGAATCCTGAAGGAAAACAGAAAAGAGCAAGACCAAAGAACATATTGCGTCGAGAATTGGAAGCAGACAACAAAAGCACAAATAGTAACTGGAAACGACTGTTCAGGAAAGAGTTGGATGGAAAATGCTAGTGAGTGGCCTACGCTCCTCAATGTGGGGTGACTATTTATTGTTTCGCTAAATGATAAACAAGGATATAAACAGACATATAGCAGCTATAAAAATCCTGTTAAAATAACACACCTAAGCAAATGATTTTATAATATTAACTGGAAACAAAACATGTACATTATTAAACACTTAAACTAATAGAAAAAGTTAGAACATACATTAAGTTTCTGTGAATTGATTTCTTGATTTTGATAAAGTAAATTTAATTCATTTTCAAGATGACTAACAAGAGACAGTAAATCCTTTTGTGATGCTTCAATACTATTAAGAGTAACTAGAAAATGATATCTTGTAAGTGCATTAGGTCCAACCATATTAAATGATGATACTGTTGGAACATTAACAATAGATGAAGAAGAACTAAGTGAACCAGCTAAGGTAAACGAATAGATGAAAAAAAAAAAAAAAATTCCATAAGAAAAGGTTTGACAGTATGTTTATCATAGAAAATTCATTTGACTATAAATTTAAACTAATTATAAAATCGTGGGATTCGATTCACTAAAACATTGACTAACTATATTAGTAACGACTTACAGCCATACAAGCCACATCCCTATTTGAAGTGAAATGATATAACAGGCAAACTGATAGATATAAAAAGTTCTAAACTGTCATGTATATACTTCCATTTCTTAGACATGTTTTTCAGGAAGATAAAAAATCAACTGAAGAAATGTGGAGTACGATATGAAAGCGATAAATAACTATCATGAAGAAGTAGTTATTACCAACCTTATTCATTTGACATTTTAGTCAAATACGAATTTCTCAGGTGTACAAATCTTTGACCAGTATTTCATTACTGATAACAGATCATGAAGACCACATATCAAAAGACACTAATTAATTCATTCTGAATATCAACAACAGTAAAATGTAAACGTTTATAACTGAAAAGAATATCGCAGTACTTGAAAAGTGGTCTTTATCGTAACTTAGTGTTTGATTGTCTACTACCCTATTGTTTGAATTAGTTCCTATTGCGTTCAGGTTGCAGTGAGAACTTCAACAGAAAGATGTAGATTAATCCAGTCGACGAGTTCCAGATGAGAATAAACGTGTATTGTAGATTCCATCATTAATCAAACGAAGACACAATTCCCGTAATTCGGCAACGCTGTAGTAAAATGTTTGAGAATGAATACATATAAAGTACTCACTCATGTTGGTATTCGGCAAAGATAAATAAGACGTGTTGTATATAAAGAAGCAAATATCAAGAACTTCATATGAAATTAACTTTTTATAAGAAGTGTTATATGGGACTCCTAAAAGATTGGCAGAGGAATCTAGCTTACCCACAGCAACACTACTCTGAACATAACTGTATGCATCTTGTACCCAACCGGAAGGAAAACCTGTACGAATAATATTTCCCAGAAAATCATTTACCATAAGATCAATTAGCATTGAACAACTATGATTCACCATAGCACAAATAGTATCCACATTACCAGATGAAAGAGATCGACTGTTAAAAGGAAAAAAATAATTTCAGTATAACTGAAGTTGGTGTTTTTACAATAAATATTCAATCATGTATCAGATAATACCATACACATTATTTTTAAGATTGAAAACTTCAAAACAATGTATTTTTACAGTAGAAATAAATAAACTTAGTCGCCACCATCTTTAAAAAGAGCCGAAGGTAAGCAATCTGGGCCCGGTGATTTGTGGCGCTTTAAGAGTTGGAGTTCCTTGCGGAATGCCGCCTCACTTGGTGGATCGGTCGTCACCGGTCATGGAGAGCAGGACAGTTTGATCGATGTTGCCGGGGCAGCAGGCCCTTCGAAGAATTCGGCCCATCTTCCAAGACGTCGATAGATGTTAGTGATTGGCATCCCGTCATCCTCGCAGATTGTTTCGCTCACACCAGACATCTTGCTGCCAGTGGCTCGGATGAGTTAGAAGGGCTTCCGGTAATTACCAGATGCAGCTGCTGCTTCCAGCTCATTAACACGCTCCGACCACCAGGCTTCTCGTTCCTTACGCAAGCTTTGCCTAATTTCATTACGTAACAGCCTTCGTTTGTGGTCAAACTCGATGTCACCTGGACTACAACAACGGGCTTCAGTGAGTTGTAAGGAACCAGAAGAAACCCAGTGCTTATAAGCGGGACGTTTTGCGAAGCCGCAAGCGGCTTTACTCGCCATTTTGATGGCGTCATGAAGCTGCAACCAATGCTCATCTATACTTTTCGGCGGGATGGTAGCTAGCCTAGAAGCTAGCTCGGTTCGGTACTTACTAGCAACAGAAGTTGCAGCCAGGTTGTTAACATCAATTCTTTGGTGGCGGTCACTTCGCTGTCCACTGAAAAGTAAGGTAAGATTGGCGCAGACCAGAGCATGATCAGATTCCAGATAGGTACTCCAAAAGAAGCGGCAGTCTTGTAAACAACCACGCCAGCGGTAGCTGATCACGATGTGATCAATCTGAGTCAAGCTTGAGATGCAGAGGGAGGACGCCAGGTGGCACATCGGCGATGACTGTACCGGTAGTTAGTGCTAGCCAGAAACAGTTTGTGGTCTGTGCACAGTTGCAGTAGACGGTCCCCGTTATCTGACCTCCGACCAGCAAGTCCCCATCGGTCACCTAAACGACTGTCTTCTGTGCCTAGACGCCCGACCTGAGCATTCAAGTCTCCAGCTAGTACTACAATATCTGTTAGACGCACTTTATATAGCAGAACTGTTAACTGGTGGTAAAACTCATCACTGATTGCATGCGGGCTGCAATCTTTCAAACACAGGCGGGGATTACGAAAAGATATCGTTACTCACAACGATTTCTTCTCATTTTGATGAAACTCTCTAATCTAATAGCACATAACCAACCGTTAAGTGAGATTCAACCGATCTGTGCTGCCTCAGCTCTAGCGCTTAGTGTGACACCAACGCCAGCAAGACCAGACGAAGATACCACAGAGTCCCCGGATAAACGCACGTAAAACAAGTGTTTATAGGCGACAGATGAATAGCAAATTTGTAGTACCTCAATGGAGTCTTGAATAGGGGCCTTGGATGGAAAACAGACATCAATGTTGAGACTTTCTAAAGACATACACAACCCTATCTGTTGTCCGGTCTGCATTAGTGTGCGGACGTTGAAGTAGGCCATTTTAAATGGCATACATGGTTTCTGAAAGGCTGGTTAAGTATTCGTATTTGGTAGTAACATTCAATTTTCGACCAGTCAGTGACTCCAGATCGTTTAGATAGAACAGGGTTTTCGCCATGAGCGAGCTGCTGCGTAAGTTGAAAAATGAAATTCGCAAAATGAGAATAAAAGGGAGTAGATAAGTGACGTGGTATAAAAGAAATAAAAACGAAGCCTATCAGGTGATTTTGAATATAATTTTCCTGAATGAGAGTTGAAGCAAAAGTAATTTTTCCAATAGTAATTATCATTTGATTTGTGTGTGGGCTAAGATTACTGTCCAGGGGCCCAAACCGGTGCTTTTCTTAAGACGCCAAACCCCGAGTTTTTGACCCAAAGGTTTAGTCTACAAAGCAATGGAGCAACGTCAGAAGATGCAGTCCCATGGTAGCCGATGACCAACAATGGGCCCATACACTATTCGTTCCCTTGAGATCCTGTAGCCAATATAGAGCATTGGTTTGGAATCAAGGTTTTCCAATTTCCTTAGGTGGATCCACCAACACGGTTAAAGCGCCGGACACTCGCTTTTCACTCTCTCGTTCATCTTATGATAATTTTACAGAAGATACAGTCCATAGGCTCAACGATAACGGTAATCACCACCGCCCATACAATACCCAAGTGTTCATCTACTACATACATAAATATGATAGTAAATGTTGTAAAGAAGATTCTGTTTAAGTGTTAGAAATTCGTATAAACCGATTACCGAAGAGATGATCTTATACTAAACTGGTAAACGACTGACGGATACTACAGTAAATAGAATCTGGTCGCAAAATCAAATCAATCGGATAACAGATGCAATAAGGATGTCGACAATCATTAGCAGTTAAACTTTGACCACTGAGACACATTAATATAAAGAACTAGTAACTAGTCATAATATAACAGGAACTATCGACTAATTATTTAATGGCTAGTAAGAGTAATGAATGATCATATATTTCAACATGATTTTATGAAAAACACTTAAGATGGTTAATGCTCGCAGACAAAACTTTTCGTCTAACGTCAGATTTCCAATTCGATCCTTTCATGTAACTGATGGGAATCGTGTGACAGACAATTGGTAGTGTACGTAGCGATAGGATAACCAACCGAAGGATAGTGAAAGCCAATGTGATTGATCTTCAGAATCCACGGTCCGCAAAACAATACACCATATATAAGAAAGCTACAATACTACAGGTGGTTCATTGAATGAATGGGTATATTTATTCTTCGTAGTCACTTCCATCAATTAAGAAAACCGCATTTCCTGAAAACATGAAATACACTACTAAGACCTTGACGCTTAGAGGAAATCATCCGAGTTGGGTCACTACAGATATATTACCTTACTAAATTGAAGTTAACATATTTCAAAGCAACAAAATTGTAACTTACACAAGACTTTTTTTGGTGATGAAAAACACATCATCAATCAAACACCATATATTACTAGATTTATCCACTTCATCTGAACTTAATGCCTTGCAAAACAAATAATAGAAAAAAATCCAGATTAGAAATGATGTACATCCATTTAGGGTGAAACTAACGACCAAGTGAAAAGAAGCACGAGTTCAAACTGTTGGTAAAGGTGTTGAGTAACCACTAAAAGATTTTTATCTCCACATTGAGCAGAATGATGTAATATTAAGGCATCTATTCATTTTCTAGTCAACATCAGCAGAAATTTAACAGTAAAGTTAGCGATGAAAACTGCTTTTCATATGTATTTTAGTAGTTTAAGATTGATTACTATCCCAAGTATGTTATCACCACCTGAACAAATCCAAGTATATCAAAAGAAAATTGTATATTTCATTTAACCAAATGTAGTTATTGTTGCTGATGTGAAAGCAGAAGTGATTTGAAGCCTATCAAGAACGATTAATTGAAATACTAGTGGTAAAATCCTCTATTCAACCTAAAAATGCACCAAAACAGAAAGTAGATATAGTCGTCAAATCTGATGTACTCAACAACTCAACAAATCCAGGTTTAGGAACAAAACATATTTTAATTCATACGGAGTGAGTTGTAAAGAAATCTTCTTTCATTAGAACATACATGTAGCTATACACTGTTATTAGAGCTGCTGTTGAATACCAAAGTGGGGATGTTTAATTAAATTAATAAGTGACAAAGGTTTACAGTTCCAAGGGGGGAAAGCTACCAAACGATTATAGACGAATTCAATGAAAACGAAGCATAAATCTCGGATATTTTGTCAATTATCTTTGATTAGTTTAGATGAAATAAGGGCGAAATTTGTAAATCATATTACTTACTTACTTTCGCCTATTACTCCTCGTCAAGGAGCATAGGCCGCTTACCAGCATTCTCCATACAACCCTGTTCTGGGCAATTCTTTCCAGCTCTTTTCAGTTCTTATTCATCCTTTTCATATCCGCTTTTATTTCCCGATGTAATGTGTTCCTTTGGCCTTCCACTTTTCCGCTTCCCTTCAGAATTCCAAGTTAGGACCTGCCTCGTGGTGCAGTTTGATGAGTTGCGTAATGGATGTCCTATCCATTTCCATCGTCCTTTACTAATTTCCTCTTCCGCTAGAAGCTGGTTTGTTCTCTCCCACAAAAGGCTGTTGCTCATGGTATCCGACCAATGGATATTGAGTATCTTGCTTTGACAGCTATTGATAAATACTTTTACCTTCTTGATGGTGGTTGTTGTTGTTGTAGTTCTCCAAGTTTCAGCTCCGTACATATAAAAATGTAATCATTTACAATAAACACTAACAGTAGATATCGTGTAAAGAAAGACAATAACTCACTTTTATCATTGTCACACGGAGATAATATTGTTCTAAATTAAGATATTTGTTAAGTAAATCTTGTACTTGACAAACAAGCTGAGAATTTTCAAAAAACTTTGAAATTTCATTACTTTTTTCTAAAAAAGAATTAATTAATATTTAATATTTTAATTTAAATTATTAAAACTATGGACGATATTAAACTATCAGAAGGAGTTTTATGTAGATTGTAGTAATTTCAATGATTAAGATCATGAGTCAGTTGAAGCTAGACACCACCATAGAAAACCTGGAAGCACTGGACAGCCGTTTCGTCCTATTATGGGACTCCTCAACAGTAGTGACCAGTGGAGTTCAACCAGGTCTGTTGTGGGATAGTAACTCACTGAAGACAAATGGTGGATGTATCGCTCAATTTCGTGGATTAGTTGAAGTTAGACATTAACACACCGTTGGATGCCGGCCAGCTCAGTGGTCTAGTGGTTAAGTACTCGCGCTCGAAACCAGTAGGTCCTGGGTTCGAATTTCGCAGGAGGTGACTGAAATTCAAGTTACTAAACTACATTATAAATAACAAGAAGATTTCCTCATCACTTCTGCAATTTGAAGAATTACAGAAAGTACAGCATAAATAGTAATAAATAAGTAAATACACGATGAAGAGCATAAACAAATCAGATCTAGGTGAGAAAAAGTTTAGGGAACGACCGTGAGCAGTGGTGGGCAACGAAAGCAAAGGAGATGGAAAAGGTGGTAGCTATAGGGAACACAAGATAGCTCAAGAGACTAATAAAAGAAATTGGAATTAATAAGTCAAGTGTAAGTGAGACTATTTCGGAGAAAGACGACACTCTCATCTGCTCCCAGTCGACGTTTAGAACGATGGGTGGAACAGTTCAGCTGGCCTTCAGCTACTCTACAATTACCCTCCATTCCCAGACAGTGTGAATGGAACATTGAAGTAGGTCCACCAACTCTAGCTGAAGTTCAAAAGGCTATAGCTAATCTGAAACGAGGAAGGGCAGCTGGTCCAGATGGATTGGCCCCAGAGGTCTTTAAGGATGGTGCTCCAATTTTAGCGATTAGGTTGACTAATATTTTAGTTAAAATCTGGGAGTTGGACATAATCCCCTCTGACTGGTCACAATCACTTATCGTTCCCATATATAAGAGAGGGTCAAAATCATCCTGTGACAACCATAGAGGGATTAGTTTAACTAATATAGTATCTAAAATACTAGCCTCAATAATTATCGGTCACCTAACTAAGACACATGAACTGCAAACACGAGAAAATCAGGCTGGCTTTAGACCTGGTCGTGACTGCATCGACCACATATTCACCATTCGTCACATTCTAGAACGCAGGCATACTTATCGGCGTCCGACAATGGTGGCCTTTCTTGACTTAAAAGCAGCATTTCACTCCGTAGACCGCGAGATTTTGTGGCAGTGTCTGTCAGTGAAAGGTGTACCTCAGAAGTACATAAACCTTGTGAAGGCTCTTTACTCGAACACTACTAGTCGAGTCAGAGCTTATGGCGAACCGTTATCTGATTTTTCACCCTCAAGTGGTGTCCATCAAGGCTGACCACTTTCTCCATTTTTGTTTAACTTCATCATAGACCTACTGATGGAAATAACATTCTCGTCGACTGAATTCTCAGCTATTGATCTCCTACCAGGAGGTCTACTTATCGACTTAGAATACGCAGATGACATATTCCTGTTTGGTGAAGACGCTGATAAAATGCAGTCTTTTGGTAGCACTAAGCAACAATGCCAGAATGTTTGGGATGCGCTTCTCTCCCTCTAAATACAAGTCCTTGCCTCAGGACTGGTTTGTGTCAATACCTGAACTAAGGATAGGGAGTGAAGTAGTCGAACGCGTTGACAACTTCACTTATCTTGGAAGTCTGATCAGCCCTAATGGGTTGGTGTCTGACAAAATCTCAACACGGATTCAGAAAGCTCATCTGGCTTTTGCCTACTTACGTCACCTATGGAGCAGGCGAGATATCCGTCTATCAATTAAGGGACGAGTAAACTGAGCAGCAATTCGTTCTGTTTTACTTTACGGCTGAGAAACGTGGCCACTAAGAGTAGAAGATATTCGTAAGTTACTAATATTTGACCAGTGATGTCTTAGAAATATTGCTCGCATCTGCTGTGATCACCTGGTAAGTAATAGTGAGGTTAGACACAGGGTATTAGAGAATGATGGTAAATCATTTGATGGGGTTGTGAATCTTCATCGACTGAGATGTTTGGGCCACGTGTTGTGTATGCCTGAACACCGATTACCACGATGCACAATGCTAACTTGTGTTGGGGATGGTTGGAAGAATGTTAGAGGCGGCTAAACCAAAACGTGACATCAGTACTTGAAGTCACTAACTTCTAGTCTTAGCCATGTTGGTAGATGCACACTACTTGGTTGGGGTCCGCGTGACTATCGTAACCAATGTTTGGAGACTCTTGGTGACATGGCTCAGAATCGGTCACAATGGTGTAGATGTATACACTCTCTGTCTTCCTTTAAACTAAGAGAGTTAAATCGCTTCATATCTTTCTTTCTACGAACTAATTCTTTCTTCCTGTACTATGTCCTTATATGCAATCTTTGTTTTATGTATTATCACCATCGAATTAACTGCTTCTATGAATTCGGTGTTCATGTTGTTGTGCTTATGCGGTATGGCAACTTGTACCGATGCACATATGTGCCTGATCCTACATTGTAGCTGACTGACTGATTGAAGTAAATACACACTTGTAATCGATAAATTATAAAAATACAGTATCAAAGGTTAATTAGTAAGCTATAATATTACAAAAGAACGTACTTTGAAAATCATTTTCTGCGAGATTGCACTGTTTGATATCAGCCTACAGAAAAAATAGGGATCATAACAACTTCATATATTTACATATACATGTAATTGCATACCAAAAACAATAATCATAATAATAAATATCTTTGTTTTTACTAAGAGTATAAAATAGAGCACTCTTCAATAAATAAGTGAAACCGATAATTAAACATTATCAAGTTTCTTTTCTCAAAACTGTTTGGAACTTTAATTTTGTTAACGATCTCTCATGAACTGATCACATATTTCATATATTCCAGGTTAGCTATTATCTGAGGAAGTGTGAAAACTACAAAGGCATTACACTACTGTCAATACCAGGAAAAGTCTTTAACAGAGTGTTACTGAACAGGATGAAAGACACAGTAGACGCTCAACTTCGAAATCAACAAGGTGGATTCCGTAAGGATCGGTCGTGCACAGACCAGATTGCGACACTACGGATCATCGTCGAACAATCAATTGAGTGGAACTCGTCACTGTACATCAACTTCATTGATTATGAGAAGGCATTTGACAGTGTAGATAGGAGGACGTTATGGAAACTTCTTCGACACTAGGGAGTTCCTGAGAAGATTGTCAACATTATCCGGAACTCATACGATGGACTACAGTGCAAAGTAGTGCATGGAGGACAGCTGACAGAGGCATTCCAAGTAAGGACCGGAGTAAGACAAGGCTGTCTACTCTCTCCCTTCCTCTTTCTTATGGTGGTCGACTGGATTATGAAGACCTTGATATCTGAGGAGAAACACGGCATACAATGGACAGCTCAAAACCAATTAGACGATTTAGACTTCGCAGATGACCTAGCCCTCCTATCACATAAACACGAACAAATGTAGATAAGGACAACCAGCATAGCAGTAGTCTCTGCATCAGTACGCCTCAACATACACAAGGGGAAAACCAAGGTCCTCAAACACAACACGGAGAACAGCAAACCAATCACTCCTGATGGCGAAACTCTGGAAGATGTGGAATCCTTCACATACCTGAGAAGCATCGTCGATAAACAAATAGGTTCAGATGCAGACGTCAAGGCAAGGATTGGCAAAGCTAGAGCGGCATTCCTTCAACTGAAGAACATATGGAACTCAAAACAACTTTCAACCAATACCAAAGTCAGAATCTTCAATACGAAAGTCAACACAGTTATTTCTATTGTGGAAAACTACAACAACCACCATCAAGAAGGTACAGGTATTTATAAATCACTGTCTACGCAAGATACGCAACATCCATTGGCCGTATACCATCATTAACAGCCTTTTGTTGGAGAGAACCAACCAGGTTCCAGCGGAAGAGGAAATTAGGAAAAGACGATGGAAATGGATAGGACATACATTACAGAAATCATCAAACTACATTACTAGACAAGCGCTAACTTGGAATCCTGAAGGAAAGCGAAAAAGACGAAGGCCAAAGGAACACATTACATCGGGAAATAGAAGCGGATATGAAAAGGATGAATAAGAACTGTAAAGAGCTGGAAAGGATTGCCCAGGACAGGGTTATATGGAGAATGCTGGTGAGCGGCCTATGCTCCTTGGCGAGGAGTAACAGGCGTAAGTAAGTAAGTAAGGTTAGCTATTTATAATTTGAATGAAAATAATAAGTCGAGTCAGAACATGTATTCATTTTATATATTATTTCATTAACAAGTACGGATACTTATTAATTTCGAAATAATTTTTTATCAGTGTACTGTTAGTCAGTCAGTCAGCTACAACGTAGGAACAGGAACATATATGCATCGGTCCAAGTTGACATACCTCATTAGCACAACAAGATGAACACCGGTTTCATAGAACTAGTTACTTCAATGGTGGTAATATATAGAAGAAAGATTGCATATAAGGAGATAGTACAGGAAAAAAGAATTAGTTCTTAGAAAGAAAAATATGAAGCGCGTTCGTCCTTTCAATTTCGTAACAAACAGTAATCCAGTGAGAAGGCAGTGAGTATGATTTCCATGGAAGTGGTTGTATGCACGTGGCCATGTGAGAGCATTTCAAAAGGCAGAGCGGATTCTCCCCTCTCTTGGCCGTACTAGAGAATTCGGAGTTATTTGCTTACTCTGAAGAAATGGCTTACATTAATGTTATTATTTATTTTATTTATTTTAACACATAGGTATTGGTACAAGGAGGCACCAAACACAAATGCGCCACACGAATCTCAATTGATTTGTGTGAAGGCTGTGATACTGACCGGGTGCCCAAACCGAAGCAGGGGGGGACGATAAATCTCCCAAAAAACTCACATTTGTAATTTTATCGATTAACTTATCGATTAAATGTTTAAATATTTGAATAGCAATCAATTGATGAACTTATTGATGAATGTTTAAAAATTTAAATGACAATATCGATTATATATATTTGTATATCTATACGTTTTAAATTGTTTTGGTTAAATCGCTCGTTTCTGGTTGTTGCAGAATATATTTCTCCTTTCATGCCTAGACTTCTCCCTCTAGATAGCTGGGACTGAGACGCGTCATTAGCTAACTCACTGGTCTTTGGTCATCGAATCTCGTTCTCGTTCGCAAACTACGTAACTACCGTGATAGCTCTCTTTTCAAATCCTAACAATTAAGTCATGAAAACTTGTCAAAAATACAATTTTTTCTACTCATTGGGATATAACAAAAAATACTTATTTATTTCAATGGTTAAGATCATGAGTCAGTTGAAGCTAGACCATTACCATGGAAAACCTGGAAGCACTGGACGGCCGTTTCGTCCTATTATTTATTTATTATTAATTATTTTTATTTTGACACATAAAAATAGGTACAGGGAGGCACCAAGTACATATGCGCTACACAAATCAATTTTGATCTGTGTGAGGGCTGTGATACTGACCGGGTGCCCAAACCGAAGCAGGTGGTTTTCTTAGGGGGCCACACCCCGAGCCTTCGACCTGAACGTCTGACCCACAAGGCAGTGGAGCATCCTAAGAAGATGCAGTCCCACGGTAGCCGGTGACCAACGATTGGTTCATACGCCATTTGTTCCTTCAGGATACTGGAGCCCATGTGCACCATTGGTTTGGGGTCCGGTTAAAGCGCCGGACATTCGCTTTTCGTCCTCTCATTTTCGTAAACAACACCCCCGCCACGTGAAGGCAGTGAGTAGGACTTCCCTGGCAGGGGCTATGTACGCATGGCCATGTGAGAGCATTTCGAGAGGGAAAGCGGACTCTCCCTACTCTCAGCCGTACCAGGGCATTTGAGGGCATTTATTATTAATAATTGTTTACATTTGTGTATAATAATGTTTACACGAATGTATGTACAATATTTTAAAGGATTAAACTCAGAATGACAAGATTAACTTGTTTTTTTTTGAACAGATTAATACAGTGAATCAAAGCATAGTTTAAAACAATTGAATTGAAACTTCACAATTTCAATTCATTAAAAACTGATCTTATAAATTTCCTTTTCAATATTGTGTATGTCTTTCTTTGAAAAAATTCTCAAGTTATTATTGATTATTCATAGGTATAAAACATAACTTACAGAAATTCGCCTTTGTATAAATTTCAAATAAAGTTCTGAACATGTAATGATTTGTAACGTTTCAACAATTATAGGCTCAATGACCAATACACGATCTGATCCTAATTCGTTTGAATCCAATATTTTATCTCTATTGATCGACTGAGTTGATGAATCATACCTTTTATTGTTTAAACTATTACTATTTGATTTCTTAAGTATTGAACAAAGTTCATCAAGATGATGATATGCATAGAAACGATCGATTACACACTTGACGTATTGGTCAACAACACAGTGTACAGAAGAGACAAGTGCAAATATATTGCCTGGGCCTAACAAAAACATGAGAAAATCGATAGATTACACTATGTAACCTGATTACAGCTAATCCCACATATATAAATTTGTAAAATTACCTGTTATAAATGGATTCAGATAAATAAGTGATGTACAGTACATTTGGATTGCGGCTAGCAGGAGGATATAGGACGTGTGTTGCCTCCTGCTTAGGACACATCAGATGGATATACCAGGATCAGTGTTGATGTTCACATTGAGACCTCGATTCAGTACCTATCACCTTAAAAGTCAACGCATTATCCAATAAACTAGCGATTCTAGATAGCCACTGACGTGTCCAACGGGTCAGGGTTTGTATTTTCCACCTACTGAAATTTCAGGGCTACAAAGAATGCATACAGAGGACTTGTAATTTGGAAGGCAATATTGAAGCATTTGCTCAGCATGAAAATATACCAGTGAATTGCACACCAATATATAAATAGCAGGAAAACACAAACCCTTACAAAGAAATTGATGTGTTCGAAAAGGTTAAGCAAATAATTTTCTAGTACATAATACAACACAATTATTTACTATAACTGTATCACACAAGATCATTACGTGTCACCATAAACGAGTGAACCAAAATAAAACGCCCATGAACATAGTAAATGAGAAAACAAGATTAGTCTACAAATTTTGAGCTGTCGCATTCTTTACAAATAAGTGGTGTTCATAGGTCTCTAACCTTCGGCACCACTAATTACCAGCATTGTGACTTTTAATCGGACAAGAAATTTGAAATACTCCCTAAACAACTGATAAGACCTTATTCTTCTCCATTCAGATAGTGTGATAATGGGAAATTATTATAATAGTATAAAACGTCAGTTTGAACAACTGTGTAGTACCGGTAAACTGCACACTTAATAAAATGAAACTGAGAGTTGAGTTATTGAACCATTAGTCTTGAAGGAATTACATGCTCCTAGTTTGATATTTGCACCAAAACCGATATTTCTAGTTACAGATTTCAGATGGTATGGATAAAATCGATAACAATAAGATTATTGAGATTATTATTCATTTTCCTCCAGCTTTCGCAATAGTTTTACCATATATTCTTTTTTTAATTTTACGGTTTCATTTGTTTCACTCACTCTTACTTTAGTTTTTACTGCTGTTGGTATTGTAATCCAGAACTCCTTTACTGTTGATTTATTTTTACTGTGCTTTTGTAGGGCTGTGTCAATCTGAATCGTTTATTGTCTGCAATTTCTGTTTGTCTTTTAGTATCTTTCTTGATTTTTATTAAATTCAGAAATCAGTGTACAGACTGAGAGTGAACTCAGAGAAAAGCAACTTTTTACCGGAGTTTCTGCTTTACAACCCAAGTTGAGGTAATGTATATTCTTTCCATGTGGGTTTTTTAGGACTGATAAATTTTCAGTTTATATCAAGAACTGATTTTAGTTAGACCACGACTGAAAAGCAGGCGCCGAACACTTGTTCTGTCATAGTATGAGACTTTCTTCTCAGTATGCCTCTCCGTCCCTAGAGAGGATCAAAACTAGGATCTTTAGCTTTATAAGCAAAGAGTGATAGTGGCTAACAGTGAAATCCAGGACGCGCATTTCGTCTTATATGAGGCTTGTCAGCTGGATGTACCTGCATCTCAGAGTTGATGTTCATTCTGGGACCAGAACTCAGTACCGTTTGCTTCAAACGCCATCGCGTTATCCACTCGGCTACTGTGTCCTGATAGCCACTTGTGCAATGGGACGAAGTTTTAATTCACCTGGTATTGTTTGCTGATATCTTCCCACTGTTGTTTAGGACTGCAATTTATAAGTCTGTTGTTGGCATATGTGCACGTACATCCAGCTGAAGAGTCCCAAATAAGACGAAACGAGCGTCCTGGATTCTACTGCTAGTCACTATTCATCTTTGCTTACAACGCTTTTGACTTAAGGCTATATCGAGGCAACCCGCACAAGATGCACATATGCCAACATGAGACTGATCGATTGCAGTCCTAAACAACAATAGGAAGATACAAGCAAACAATACCAAGTGAATTAGGGTTTTTAGGTCTCGCGCAATATAGTACATTGGTTGAAATTAGATATATAAATCACTGGATGCCTACTAAATGGTTAAAACGTCAAGCATTCGCCTTAAGACTTAGAGGTTTAAACTAGGACCTAGAGAACGAACCACCACTAACCTTACACTTTATGGTTTAATCATTAAGATGACTGATCTGGTGAAGCTAATCTAATTAGTTGTGCATTAGTAAAATAGTGTTTACTTCTAGCAGCTAACTTGAATAAAGATTATCTCATCATGTAGCAGAGGGTATAGAAAGATGAATAAAACATATTTTGCTACCATACTAAAATACTTTTACCCCTTGTCAACGTTTCACATTGAAAATATCAGAAAAATTAGCTTTAGTACAACTGTCCTCGGTTCTTTTAATGATAATAAAAAATTTTATACTTACCACAGTATGTTTCCACATACACTGAATTATTTTTTAATGTATCTGCAACAAACTCTAGAATTTCTATGATTAAATTAGCCGATAGAAATTCAGATGATTGTAAAGATGTTTTATAAGTAGTGATTAATATTTCACATTTATTTGTAATATATGAACAAAGATATATAGAAAATCGTTGAATTCCTTCATTGATTTTACCCAATAAAAAAAATATCTTTAATAAATGCACTATATTCTTTTCATCCCGTTTTAAAACATATTCATCGAATTTTCCAATTGCCATCTTCATGAGAATTTGTCGACTATCATCCAAAGTTATCAAGGGGTTATTATCAGGATTATCTATAAAGTAATTTTTTTTTTTTTAGATCATCATTAATATGACTATCACGAAATATTTAAGGATAGAATTTACAAAATCACAATAAATATAGTATGTGTATGTTGGTAAGTTAAACTGTACAGTTATGTTGCAGTTTGATAGGCCGAATCTGTACCAGGATTATAAACTACAGAGAAATGTAGAAATTCGCACAAATCTGTACTGTGACAATTTGAACAAGATTACAATTTTTCTACTAATTAGACCCCATCTCCGATTGTGTCATAATAAACTTTAATTTATATTTATAATACAGTATAGAAACCATTAAAATGATAGAAAAAAGCATGGAGGTATACGAAAACTAATTAATTGTCCTTTTAATCTCGATATCACCATTTAGTTTTATTGGGTAATAAAAACTTTGTTGAGTAACATATGCCTGTTACAATAATAGCTAGTTCGTGGAGCTTGACGTTCGAACATGTTTCAATATGTTGACTTCTCATACTAGTCAGCTGCAACGCAGGACCAGGCACGTACATGCATCGGTCCAAGTTGCCATACCGCATTAGCACAACAAGATGAACACCGGATTCATAGGAGTAGTTAATTCAGTGGTGGTATTATATAGAAGAAAGAGTGTGTATAAGGAGATAGTAAAGGAAGAAAGAATTAGTTTGTAGAAAGATATGAAGCGATTTTAATCTCTTAATTTAAGGAAGACAGAGAGTGTATACACCGACGCCATTGTGATCGATTCTGAGCCATGTCACCAAGAGTCTCCAACCATTGGTTACGATAGTCACGCGGACCCCAACCAGGCAGTCTGAATCTTCCAACATGGCTCAGACCAGAAGTTAGTGACTTCAAGCACTGATGCCACGTTTTGGTTTGGCCGCCCCTAACTTTCTTCCAATTATCCCCTGCACTAGTCAGCATTGCGCGTCGTGGTAATCGGTGTTCAGGCATACGCAACACGTGTCCCAAACATCTCAGTCGATGAAGATTCATAACCTCATCAACTGATTTACCATCATTCCCTAATACCCTGCGTCTAACCTCACTATTACTTACCAGGTGATCCCAGCAGATACCCGCAATATTTCTAAGGCACCTGTGGTCAAATACTAGTAACTTACGAGTATCTTTTGCTCTTAATGGCCATGTTTCGCAGCCGTATAGAAGGACGGAACGAACTGCCGCGCAGTATACTCGTCCCTTAATTGATAGACGGATATCTCGCCTTCGCCATAGATGACGTAAGTTGGCAAAGGCCAAGCGAGCTTTTCGAATCCGTGTTGAGATTTCGTCAGACACCAACCCATTAGGGCTGATCAGACTTCCAAGATAAGTGAAGTTGTCAACGCGTTCGACTACTTCACTCCCTATCCTTAGTTCAGGTGTTGATGCAGACCAGTCCTGAAGCAACAACTTGCATTTAGAGGGAGAAAAGCGCATCCCAAACATTCTAGCATTGTTGCTCAGTGCTACCAAAAGACTCTGCATTTCATCAGCATCTTCACCAAACAGGAATATGTCATCTGCGTATTCTAAGTCGATAAGTAGACCTCCTGGTAGGAGATCAATACCCGAGAATTCAGTCGACGAGAATGTCATTTCCATCAGTAGGTCTATGATAAAGTTAAACAAAAAAGGAGAAAGTGGACAGCCTTGATGGACGCCACTTGAGGTTGCAAAAGCAGATGACAGTTCGCCATAGGCTCTGACCCGACTAGTAGTGTTCGAGTAAAGAGCCTTCACAAGGTTTATGTACTTCTGAGGTACGCCTTTCAATGACAGACACTGCCACAGAACCTCTCGGTCAACAGAGTCAAACGCTGCTTTTAAGTCAAGCAATACCACCACTGTCGGGCGCCGATAAGTATGCCTGTATTCTAGAACCTGACGAATGGTGAATATGTGGTCGATGCAGCCACGACCAGGTCTGAAGCCAGCCTGATTTTCACGTGTTTGCAGTTCATGTGTCTTAGGTGACCGATAATTATTGAGGCTAGTATTTTAGATACTATATTAGTTAAACTAATCCCTCTGTGGTTGTCACAGGATGATTTTGACCCTTTCTTAAATATTGGGACGATAAGTGATTGTGACCAGTTAGATGGAATAACGTCTAACTCCCAGATTTTAGCTAAAATATTAGTCAACCTAATCGCTAAAACTAGACCACCATCCTTAAAGACCTCTGGGGCCAATCCATCTGGACCAGCTGCCCTTCCTCGTTTCAGATTAGCTATAGCCTTTTGAACTTCAGCTAGAGTTGGGGGACCTACTTCAATGTTCCATTCACACTGTCTGGGAATAGAGGGTAGTTGTAGAGTAGCTGAAGGCCAGCTAAACTGCTCCTTAAAGTGTTCCGCCCATCGTTCTAAGCGTCTGGACTGGGAGCAGATGAGAGTGTCGTCTTTTTCCGAAATGGTCTGACTTACACTTGATTTATTAATTCCAGTTTCTTTTATTAGTCTGTAGAGTTGTCTTGTGTTCCCTATAGCCGCCGCCTTTTCCATCTCTTTTGCTTTCGTTGCCCACCACTGCTCACGATCATTCCTTAGACTTTTGCTTAATCTAGATTGATTTCTTTACGCTCTTCATCGTATTCAAACCTGATGGGATGAGTTTGCGAGAATCTATCAGTGCAATAGACCTTGACGAAATCCATTGGTTTTTTGTGACCATTTGGTTTAAATCACTGGTAGATGTCACTGCTGTTTCCACAGCTGCTTGTATAACTTTCCAAGCAACATCTGGGTCAGTCTCGTTTTCAGAACTACCTAAGTGTGACCTCAGTTGTTCCTGGAACCTACTTTTGGCTTTCTCATTACTCAATTCGGTTCTAATGAGTCTTTTTTGTGTGGCTCTTTTGCGTCCAGTGAGGCGTAAGCAGATGCGTGCTCGTACTAGGGCATGATCAGAGTCCAAGCAGGTAACCCAGAATGAGCGACAATCTTCTATTGCCCCTCTCCAACGATGACTGATGGCAATGTGGTCTATTTGAGTCCATCGTTGGTTTGGTGCAGGGGGTCGCCATGTTAGACGATGTCTCTCCTTATGCTTAAAATTTGTGTTTGCTAAAAATAAACTTCTCATACTAATATACTGTCAAATTGGCTTAAAAAGCAATATATATATATGGTACGATGTGGTCTGCCTGGTTGGTATAGAAACGTAGTATGTTTGAAATAAATGATTCATATCTCAGAGGCTGAGATTGGTGTTCTGGACTTAGCAGGCTGGGCTAGGTAGGAAGCAGGACCGTTAAGGACTCTAGACTACTCGTGCAGGTTTTATGCGTCATTGGTCCGATCGATAATCCACTGTTCTCTAATTGACGGTATCATCAGGTTACACATCAATAGGACACGGGGCACAAGTTATAACGATCTTGTTGAGCTACCATGGGATCCTAACCTGGGCTAAAACACATTTGTGTTAAGTTATATGTTGATTATGACTAATTCGTAACTCCTTAGACACTTTATTGGTTTCCAATTAGTTAAATCACCATCATAGCCATCAAGAATAGAGGATATTCGTAGGTATCAAATCATAGGTATTTTCGAAGAATTGCTCGTGTATTTTGAAACCACAGAATGAGCAATGCCTGAGTTAAAAATAGGGTACTAGGTAGGAATGACAAATCGATTGATGAGGTAGTAAATCTTCATCAAGTGAGGAGGTTGGGACATGTGTTACGTATGTAGGTGTAGGAGTAGGCTGGAAGAAAGCTAAGGGCAGCCAAACCGAAACATAACATCAGTCCATTAAGTCATTAAAATCTGGACTTGATCATGTTAATAGGTATAGACTACCTTATTGAGGTGCGTGTGGTTATCGTAACCAGTGGTTAGGGACTTTAAATGACATGGCTCATAATCGTTTGCAATGGCGCAGTTGCATCAATTCTTTGTCTTCCCCCGAATTCCTCATGATTCTCTTGTTATTATTTCACTACTTTATATTTTCCTATTGAATCGTATCTTCGGTACCTATTATATTCTAAACTTGTACGTTTTTGAGACATGCTATGCACACTCCAGTTACGTCATATCCTGATGCCCAATGCTAATCGATCTTGTAGGTTAAAAGGTTAAAAGCGACCACGAAATCATCTATCTAAGCTGTGTGGGAGAGGTATTGAATTCTTGATCAAGGTTCTCTAGATAATCGTGGTCAACAGTTGAAGAACTCGAATAAACGTGGCTCGAAATAGGACTTAACAACATAGATCCACTTATTTCCTACTTATCTGTAAATTCTGATTTTAATACAGATACTTTTAGTCACTTCGGCTAATACTGTAATTATTTTGGCATCTATTACTTTCACGTTGTTAGACTCTTCCTTAATTTGTTTCGACATGAAGTATGGAGGCTGCCCGAGACATATTTCTAAATGGTCCCTGATTATGACTGAAACATGTAGTCTTCCCATTTTCATATAATTTGCTGACCAGGATCTCGTGTTAGGCATGTAGTTACAGGTTATTGGGAAACTATCTCTACTTCCAATAAAACCACAAGCAGAGAAGTTGAAGTAACAATTCACAACCACTTTTTAAGCAATTCATCAAAATATGCTTTATATATGTAAGCGAATGAATCCGAACACTGAGAAAACTACTGGTTTAGACAACTGATATTTTAAAGTGAAAACAGGCTTACCCGCCGATAGACGCGAGATAAGAGAAATTATGTCTTTATCCATTTTCAGATAAGTAAACACGTAACCAGCGGCCTAAAAATAACTGTGAGAATCAACTAAGTTACTTCATCTAATTTAGAGTCAACGAGACATCGTTTCACTCCAACTGCACTGTTCCTTACAGTAATTATATGATTTAGTTTATCTACACATTTAAGAACATGATTCTGAAAAATACTAGGAATTCAATAAAATTACTTTCACAAAATCTAATTGCTCTACTTTCCCACTGAGCTGTAGAGCAAGTTTTGAAGCACAACCCACCAATTTTGAAGAATTTTCAGCATTTATTTGTAACTTATGGAAATCAGGTCTACAAAAAAAATATAGCTAACGGGTTTGCATACATTAGAGAGTTTATCTTTTTTAATTTGTCCTCTATTTCACTTCTTCTAGCAAGTAAGTTCTTGATTTCATCAGATACATCTGCCTGTAAAATCAGTTTTATGCAAAACTTTAATATTACTTACCTTAACATTATGGGACTTCTCAACTAGATTCTTAAGCTCGGAAAAGTCGTCAATCATGCATACATTAGAGTCCATGATATTGGTCGGAGTCCAATTACCTTAAAACAAAACAACAGTCCCAGAAGAATTAGATGTCAAGTGTGGAAACTATAACTCCGCCTGTACCTCTTCTAGGGCTACTGCTAGTCCCAAGTCAACACAAACGAAGAGGGTTGGGTGTGGGGTCAGCAATCCCATACGTAGAAAACAACCTTGCTAAAAACAAATGTTAACCAGAATAAACAATTTAAACTCTGTCCAGTGAGTTCAAGCATCTTCATTCAAAAGAATTATCACGCCTCATGATGATAGCTGAGATTCGTCGGAAGTCATGAGGCCGATATCCCTTCTAACAACCAGAGCAACAATCAATACAAGTACAAAGAACATCCGGACAATGTGGGAGACCGTAAGGATCAATTAAACAACAAAAGAAATGAGGAGATATAAGATGGCGGTTCTCGAATCAGTGAAAACCATTGGAACCAAACTGGACAAAAAACATTAGATTCGGAAACAAGAAAAATGCTTCACATACTCATGGAGTTGCTCTTATACTGTCCGAACAAGCACGTAATGCACTTATAGGATGGCAATCTCATGGATCCTGGAACATCAAAGCATCCTTCAAAACAAAGGAGGGAATTACAATGAAATTTATCTAATGTAATGCACCCACCAATGATAGTAATGACGACGATAAAGATCAGTTCTACAAGAGGCTGCAATCAATCATAGTGAAGTGTTCAGGAAACGACCTGACCATTTTGATGGGGGATCTAAATGCCAAAGTAAGGGGATGCAGTTCCATGGTAGCCGATGACCAACGATTGGTTCGTACGCCATTTGTTCCCTCAAGCAGGATACTGGAGCCAGCCCATGTGCACCATTGGTTTGGGATCCGATTAAAGCCGGTGCCGGAAATTCGCTTTTCGTCCTCTCATTTTCGTAAACAACAGTAATGCCACGAGGAGGCAGTGAGTAGGACTTCCCTGACATAGACTATATACGCGTGGCCATGTGAGAGCATTTCGAGAGGGAGAGCGAACTCTCCCCACTCTCGGCCGTACCAGGGCATTTGGGGGCAAATTGGTTATAGACAGCACAATATTCCCTCATAAACGCATACACAAAGCTACATATGGCTCACCGGACCACACCACAGAGAAGCAAATCGATCATATTTGCACCAATAAAATATTCCGGAGATCCATGGATGTGATATCCAACAGATGAGCTGAAATAGCTTCAGATCACCAACAACCAGTGGTTGTCAAGATGGAACTGAAGCTAAGAAACACTGGACAACCGGGGAAACAGCAATACAAATGCTCAATACATACTTCCAGATAACAACAAACTCAACGAATTCAAGATAACTCTCAACAACACGTTAAAAGCCTTACAGGATCTACTCAAAGAAGAAAAAACTACTATGGACGACAACTGGAAAGGGATAAAAGAAGCATTAACTTCAACGTGTCAAGAGGTTCTGGGCCGCAACAAACATTATCATAAGGAATGGATCTCCATAGAAACACTGGACAAGATCAAAGGAAGGAAGAACAAGACATCAATTAACAACAGCCGAACAACAGCAGAGGAAGTCAAGGCACAAGCTGAATACATAGAAGCAAACAAGCAAGTAAAGAAGAGCATTAGAGCCGACAAGCAGAAGTACTTCGAACATCTAGCAACGACAGCGGGAAACATGTAACAGAAAGAAGTATGAAACAACCATATCACACGACGAAGAAACTGGCAGGGGAATTGAGCAAATCAGAGAGACCGGTCAAGGACAAAGAAGGCAAACCAATCACCGAGATTCAAGAACAGGGGAACATTTGGGTAGAACACTTTGAGGAACTCCTGAACAGACCAGCTCTATTGAATTCACCGGATATCGAAGCAATGTATACAGACCTTCCTATAGATGTCACTCCACCAACGATCGAAGAAATTAATTGCGGCCATCACACAAATCAACAGTAGGAAATCAGATGGATCTGACAATATACTAGACGAAGCACTAAAGTCAGACATAGAAGAAACTGCAAACATGCTCCAAGTTCTATTCAGGAAGACAGACAAACTGGGAAGAAGAATACTTCATCTATATATCAGAGATTATTTATTTATTTATTTTAACACATAAGTATAGGTACAGGGAGGCACCAAATACATATGCGCCACACAAATCTCAATTGATGTGTGAGGGCTGTGATACTGCCCGGGTGCCCAAACCGAAGCAGGTGGTTTTCTTAGGGGGCCACACCCCGAGCCTTTGACCTGAACGTCTGACCCACAAGGCAGTGGAGCATCGTGAGGAGGTGCAGTCCCATGGTAGCCGGTGACCAACGATTGGTTCATACGCCATTTGTTCCCGCAGGATACTGGAGCCAGCCCATGTGCACCATTGGTTTGGGGTCCGGTTAAAGCGCCAGACATTCGCTTTTCGTCCTCTCACTTTTGTAAACAACACCCCCGCCACGAGAAGGCAGTGATTAGGACTTCCCTGGCAGAGGCTATATACGCATGGCCATGTGAGAGCATTTCGAGAGGGAGAGCGGACTCTTCCCATCTCGGCCGTACCAGGGCATTTGGGGGCGATATATCAGAGAAAAGATATTTGAGCAAATGCGAAAGCTACAGAGGCATCATACTACTATCAGTACCAGGAAACCTTTTCACCAGTGTTGCTGAACCGAATGTAAAACTCAGTAGGCGCCCAAATTCGAGATCAACAGACCGGATTCCATAAGGATCAGTCGTGCACTGACCAAATCGCGACACTATGGATTATCGTTGAGCAATTAATTGAATGGTACTCGTCACCATACATCAACTTCCTTGACTATGAGAAGGCGTTTGACGGTGGGGATAGGAGAACATTAAGGGACCTTCTTCAACACTATAGATTGAATAGCTGAGAAAATCGTCAGCATCATACACAATTTGAGGGAAAAAACGGAATGCAATGGACAGATTGCATGCAACTAGACTTGAACTTTGCGGATGAACTAGCCCTTCTATCTCATAAACATCAACAAACGCAGGTGAAGAACCTATGGAACTCAAAACAACTATCTGCAAGCTATTATCATAGTCAGAATCTTCAACACGAACGTCAAGATAGTTCTACTGTATAGAACTGAAACTTCCAAAACTACCATAACCATCATCAAAAACGTAGAAGTATTTATGAACAGTTTCCTATGCGAAATACTCAATGTACGTTGGCCGGATACCATCAGAAACAGCCTACTATGGGAAAAAACAAACCAAGTTCCAACTGAGAAGGAAACTAGGGAAAGACGTTGGAAGTGGATAGGACATACATCAAAAAAAATCATCAAACTGCATCACGAGGCAAGTGTCAACATGGAATCCTGAAGGGAAACGGGAAAGAGGAAGGTCAAAGAGCATATTGCGTCGAGAATTGGAAGCTCGATGGAGCTTACCTAAACCAACCTGTATTTAACGATGGCCCATCCAACATCTAACCGGCTGGCATTTAATGGCCATGTCATAAACTGCGTTTATTCGACGCCGAATAGCCTCTGAAATTTGACGTTTGACATGTAGCAATCCAAACAATGCTTCATTCATTTTCTTTTCTTTTATGCTCCATATTCACTTTTTATAACTATTGAATAACTGCGTTTCTGGAATGTTTTTGATCTCCATAACCATTGATGGTGTTGCACACAATGGGCCTTAGAAATACCTTGGACCACGACCCAAAAAAACTTGGTGCAACTAGAGACTGGTTGGGTGATAAATCAAAAACTATTCGGTCATAAGAAGCTCAAAAAATATCCTAAATCGTTGTGAGTTCCTTCTAGTTTATATTTTACTAATATGAAATATTTTATCATCACTAGCATTTAAACAATGTTTTTCTCCTGCTTACTCATAAATTTTACGACTGTAAACTCTTTCATATGTACTTGGTGCCTCCCTGTACCTATACTTATGTGTTAAAATAAATAAATAATAAATGATAAATACTCATAAATTTTACGACCGTAAACTCTTTCATATTCTTCGGTCAGCTATCTGTCCTTACCATCTGCAAACTACATATAATCCGACCGGTATCTTATGACCTATACCACTAGTTATCTTCATAGCAGTGTGATACATTAAATAGATATTCAACCCACAATACAAAAGCTTTAGCTGCCTGATCTGCTTGTGACATGGAACTAGTAGTGAGTGTATCCAAACAAGGTGTGAAATATAGAGCTCAGATCAAAACAATATTCATACATACCATAAACGTAGGTGAGCCTAACATCACAAAGGGAGGGGGGGTAGCATTACTGACCAGCAGATAATAATGGGGGGAGGCAACCTCAATCCACTCGTATCTGTAGGGCAGATTATTTATTTATTTTAACACATAGGTATTGGTACAAGGAGGCACTAAATACATATGCGCCACACAAATCTCATTTAATTTGTGTGAGGGCTGTGATACTGCCCGGGTTTATTTATTTATTTATTTGAACACATAAATATTGGTACAGGGGGGCACCAAATATATATGCGCCACACAACTGCCCGGGTGCCCAAACCGAAGCAGGTGGTTTTCTTAGGGGGCCACAACACGAGCCTTCAACCTGAAGCTCTAATCCACAAGGCAGTGAAGCATCGTAAGGAGATGCAGTCCCATGGTAGCCAGTGACTAACGATTGATTCATACACCATTTGTACCTTCACGATACTGGAGCCCATGTGCACCATTGGTTTGGGATCCGATTAAAGCCGGTGCCGGAAATTCGCTTTTTGTCCTCTCATTTTCGTAAACAACAGTAATGCCACGAGGAGGCAGTGAGTAGGACTTCCCTGACATAGACTATATACGCGTGGCCATGTGAGAGCATTTCGAGAGGGAGAGCGGACCCTCCCCACTCTCGGCCGTACCAGGGCATTTGGTGGCTTTAGGGCATAACTTTGTGTCAAATTGCGGCTCCTTACGGTCAAGTTGAATGTCAAAAACCAATGGTACCGGTGCTAACTTTTTATGCCAATTACGTCTTTAACTCACGTATGTGACACTGAACTGGTTCCACTTCCTGTCGAAAAATCCTATTACAAGCAAGACAGCACAATTACGCTAAACATGAGTCCACTCATGACTCTACAAACGTTATAACAATAAGGAGTTATAATAATCCTGACGAAAAAAAGGCCAGTTGGCACTCGAACACTGTATTTTCCTTAATAAATTTTAAAAATACACATAATCCTAAACTTTCAGCTCTTCCACATGTACACTGCTTTATTCATTCAGCTCCATACTGTGGCTTGTTTTCTCTAACCTGATGCAATACATTTGCTTAGAAATTGGTTTAATAAATTAGAACGTGTCTAAATAGTTACACTTAATTGTTCAATCACAATTGACTAAACTTCACAAGTCATGAACACTGTTCGTCCTGCTTCTCGCACTTCTCATTTCACTTTTTCAGAACCTTCATGGTATATCTCCGATAAATATTTGTGGTATATACGACTTTCCTCAGCCGACACATATACTTACGAAAATATCTGGGATCACTATAAAGAATCAAAAACCAATACGTTCAAATTGACGTCTTCGACTGACTGCACGGGACTGATACCATTCATTCTCGACCACCAATTGCTTATCGCAATGCAGCCCCTGCAAAGCGCGCCAACCTTTATGTTGAACAGTAGATTCCTACTAGCATTGATATTCTAATGTATGAAAATTTACCTCCGGTTTATATTGCCCATGTGCCCTATAACATATCAACATAGTTGACTAACTTGATAAAGTAAAGCCTGTAGCACTTGCAACAACTTGACCATGCATGTGGACTGGAATCACTCATGTAACATATTGTTATCTGAGAATATATTATGATTACTGCTTGCTCTTATTTGAAGGCTCTAAGCACATTGTGTTCTAGCGACAGTAGCCGCTATGGGTTATAATTAGTGGACGTATTTTGAGCGACGCTAAATAGACCGTGAGAATGTTCACCTACTTACTACGGCTACATGAGAGTCATAAAGGAGTGTGAGGAATTAGGATTAATATTTACAGTTGATAGTTAGGGTGATGAATTAGATATAGGTGTTTCATCACTACTTGACATCAGCTATAATGCCAAAACTCTATTTAGCCAAATGAACTAATTCATTTCGCGTCAAAATCCAAGACATGTTATAGTAAATCTAATTGATTAGTCCATAAATTACAGTCTCGCCAGAGCTTCTTAAGCCTGTAACGTACGCCTTCTTCAAGGTCACAGTTCATATTAAGCGGCCCCACATGAACTTTATAAATGGTTTAAATGGTTGCTTATGCAATAGAAGGACCTCTCGCTTAACGGGCTTCCGTATCTAGTAGCAGTGGATCACCGATACTTCCAGGCAGAAACCTAGGTATATTGTCGTATATTGACGTAGATTGTATATTGTATATCGTATATTGTCACCTGCAACTGCACAGGACTTTCCGTAGTGAACCTGAGCGCTGACTTGATGTTCCGAAAACTGCAGCATCCAAGAACAGACACTTGTCCTGGCTCAGATATGGTCCATTCTGCTATACTGAGGGAAGCAGCTTCAGTCCTGGCAGCACCGCTTAGTTTGATGTTCTCACACTCGCTAAGTCGAGGCAAACTGCCGGAAAATTGGAAGCTGGCTCATATCACACCAATTTTCAAGGGAGGTCGACGCAGCAAACCTTCGAGTTACCGACCGGTGGCTCTTCTCTCTATACCTTCAAAAATCATGGAGTCCCTGATATACGATGGTATACATGACTATCTGCTGTCCTTAAATTTCTTCTCACCCCAGCAGCATGGCTTCAGGAAGGGTTATTCTTGTATGACCAACCTTCTGACTGCGGTACACAGATGGACAAGCATCCTTGATCGCAAGGAGAAGGTGGATATCATTTACCTTGATTTCTCGAAAGCTTTTGATAGGGTAAACCATATATGTCTTATCAATAAGCTCAGACAATTGGGTATCAAACGTTATAACAATAAGGAGTTATAATAATCCTGACGAAAAAAAGGCCAGTTGGCACTCGAACACTGTATTTTCCTTAATAAATTTTAAAAATACACATAATCCTAAACTTTCAGCTCTTCCACATGTACACTGCTTTATTCATTCAGCTCCATACTGTGGCTTGTTTTCTCTAACCTGATGCAATACATTTGCTTAGAAATTGGTTTAATAAATTAGAACGTGTCTAAATAGTTACACTTAATTGTTCAATCACAATTGACTAAACTTCACAAGTCATGAACACTGTTCGTCCTGCTTCTCGCACTTCTCATTTCACTTTTTCAGAACCTTCATGGTATATCTCCGATAAATATTTGTAGTATATACGACTGTCCTCAGCCGACACATATACTTACGAAAATATCTGGGATCACTATAAAGAATCAAAAACCAATACGTTCAAATTGACGTCTTCGACTGACTGCACGGGACTGATACCATTCATTCTCGACCACCAATTGCTTATCGCAATGCAGCCCCTGCAAAGCGCGCCAACCTTTATGTTGAACAGTAGATTCCTACTAGCATTGATATTCTAATGTATGAAAATTTACCTCCGGTTTATATTGCCCATGTGCCCTATAACATATCAACATAGTTGACTAACTTGATAAAGTAAAGCCTGTAGCACTTGCAACAACTTGACCATGCATGTGGACTGGAATCACTCATGTAACATATTGTTATCTGAGAATATATTATGATTACTGCTTGCTCTTATTTGAAGGCTCTAAGCACATTGTGTTCTAGCGACAGTAGCCGCTATGGGTTATAATTAGTGGACGTATTTTGAGCGACGCTAAATAGACCGTGAGAATGTTCACCTACTTACTACGGCTACATGAGAGTCATAAAGGAGTGTGAGGAATTAGGATTAATATTTACAGTTGATAGTTAGGGTGATGAATTAGATATAGGTGTTTCATCACTACTTGACATCAGCTATAATGCCAAAACTCTATTTAGCCAAATGAACTAATTCATTTCGCGTCAAAATCCAAGACATGTTATAGTAAATCTAATTGATTAGTCCATAAA